AGAGAGAGAGAGAGAGAGAGAGAGAGGAGTTGAATCAGAAGGAGAAGAGGAAGTAGAGGAGACGGAACGGTTTCGAGGCACGTAGCCGGGTGGAGGGCGCGGTCAATTCATTGAATAGGAAAGTAAGTTTCATAGTTTATAAGTTTATCCTCCCTCCAACTCGTTTCGAATCGAGTTAGCAGGGGGAGGGGAGAGGAGGGAGCAGCTCGCATCTCGGGATCTCGAGCGAGGAATCTTCGAAGATGCGTTTAATACGCTCGGCTCCTAATGTAATCGAAAACTTCCAAACGAATTCGTTCTCGCGGTGGTCGATTTGCAACAGTCTCTCGAGAACTTTAAACGGGGAGGGATTGGCCGTTCGAAATTCCATAAATTACCGTCCCGATGATTGAAAGCGATTGAAAATATTCCCTCCCGTTTCCGCTCCGCTTTCCGATAATAGATAACATTTCGAGAGGGGAAGTCCAATTAGACGGATCCTAGAATAGCGACAATCTCTATTCGCTTTATTATCTTTCGTGGGATTTTTGCGTTGATAATTTCGCCAGGATGAATATATATTCTGGGTGGTTGGGACGATATTAAACCGAGCGATGGAAATAAGGACGGAAAGGAAAGCAATTCGTTTTGATCGCCAAACTTCCATACTTGCTTTCCCGTGTTTCGTTAACGTTCAACTTCGTTCCTTGCAATTCCTTGAATATTCGTTGTTCGTCACGGAGTTATGGATTTATTTGATGTGAGAGATAACTAATTAACCAGATTTGTCTAAAGTAAGGAAAAACTTCTTTACGTAGAGGCAGGGATTCGCGCTACCGGAAAGAATAATTTATATCTCTTCTCGACTTTCCAACTGCTCCGGGCGTCAAAGAACGAGCAAAGTATACGAGAAGCTTGATACGCGAAAATATGCCCCTGGAGATCGTAATTTACAGCATTCACTCGCAAGTGGTCGAAATCCAGTTTTGCCATTCATACATTTTTATTCGCCGGCCATGGCATTATCTTAAGAATCGAGAGGAGGGGGCAAGTTCCCCCCGTTTTACTGCCGAATTTTGTTACGTTCCACCGGTTGCAGTCGGGAAACAAGAAGGGGAAAATGGAGGAAGGTTTAAAGGAAATGGGACGAACGACAGGAACTCGTTTGCCCGTGTAATTACTCACGAGGCGTAGAACGAGCAAAGAAATATTTCTCGACCATGCAACGCATCTTAACGTATTCCTCGAAACCCTTTTTCTCCCGTTTTAAGGGGACCGTGGGGAAATATTTTCCCCGGTCGCCAACAGCTTAATACGCGTCGTATCAGACTTCCGTCTCATCTCCTTTGACCTCTCCTTCGCGCTTGAATTCATCCTCGAATTTCTTCCTCCGGAACTCAAATATTTGCCGGTAATTTATTAAAATTTACGGCAACTCGGGGAACATCTTTCGAGGACACTTGTAAACTTTGATAAGGATGGATGAATAGTTGAAGAGACAGTTGAAACACGAGCGCGCGCGATTACCACGCGAATATGAAATTCTTCTTCGTTAATATCCATACTTTCATCGATCTTATAAATCTTAGAAAAGGAGTTGCGTCAGAAATTTATTCGAAATCTTCATATCCAATAGCAAATCGTAAAGTAATAACAGTTAATCCTTCGATCGAACGACGATTGAAACGTCATTCGAGGGATGCTCGAAGAGTTCCCTATTACGCACACAGACACACACATATATCGAACCAAGTTACTAGTAGAGCGAAGGTTAAACAGCGAAATTAACGGTATGTGGACCTGTGCGTCGATTTATGAGGTAACGCGAAACTCCATGATACACCTCCATATTTGCGTACGTGCACCTGTACCCTTCTCATCCCCTCCCCTTCCCTCCCTTGAATGAGACGCAAACTCGGCGAAACGCGAATAAGATGGAAGGGAGAGACGGGGAGAGACGGGGAGAGACGCGTAGTAGTAAACCTCGAAGCACCTCCTTCGAACTCCCGTCATAAGTTCACCTTACCGCTAAGTCCTTCTCGCATTCCGAAGTTGGATACTATCCCCGCAACTAGTCGCCCACCAACTCGAGTTACAAGCTAAAATACATAACAACAATGATGCTCGCATAAAGCTCTCGTGCACCAACTCTCCTCCCCGTTTCTAGAGCTCTTACAACACGGGCCCCGTTAGATTATGCTAATAGAGAAGGAAATCCCGCCGCCACCGGCCAGGCAAGAAACGAAACGCGGCGCGCTTAAAATTCTCCTCGCCTCTTGTTCTTTAGAGGCTTTAGCGGTTGACGTGTACGCTCATACGTGACTCGTATGCGTCAAGATCACTTTTCCTTTTTTTTTTTTTATTTCCACGCGAAATAAAGGGGAAAAAAATTTCGCGCTTCTTAGGCGGGATAAATCAACTATAACGACTTCTGTCGTTCGTCATTGAGATCTCCGTTCTAACTTTGTGGATGAGGGAAGAGATTCGATTCAGGATTCGATTTCTGTCCAATTAAAGATCGAATCGGCGTGAAAAGAATAGTAGGTGGGAAGGTTTTACGCATTGAAAGAACGCCACCACCCTTCTCCTTTAATACGGAATTCGTAACGCGGTGGGTCCGCGATGGTGAAAGCGAGGGTGCTCTCTGAAGAGGACATTCATAACACTTGTCGCCGCAGCAGCTGCCAACAGGGAGTTATTGCTCTCTCGTAACAACGGCAACAAGGGTGGAAGTTTTCCAACGGCGTACCGTCAACGGGAATCAGACGCTTGGCCAACGTTGCCCTTTGAAAACGCGTCAGCTCTTTATCAAAGCTAACAAGAAGCGTCGACTACCGCCGCCTCGACTCCTAACCGAGTGTGGTTGTCGCCTAACCAAGATATATCCTTCCGCGTAGGCATCGAGCAATCATCACGAATACGAAAATCCAATCCTGTTACATAGATTCTATATTCCGACGAAAGAAGCAATTTTTTTATTTATCCTAATTTTTAATCCAATTTCCACGCGACTGGAAATACGCCTATATATCCCGTTTCAATTACAAGAATTATAAAGTCTCTTCGAAAAACTAACAGGCTGGCTGGCTGGCTCTCGCCACTCCCGCTCTCAACCGCTATTTGTAAAAACAGAAAAGCTCGGCGCAACGCGCGTCGAGCGATTTATTCGCACGTACGAGGCCGTGGAAGACGAGTTTCCAGTCGGTGGGCAAAAGAGAAAGAGAAGAAAGAGGAGAAAGGAAAGGTAGAGAGAAAGAGAGAAAGAAAGAAATCCCTTGTTAGCGGCAGGTAGCCTTCGCCGAGACAAGTGGGTGGTGCGCGTGGTGAAAAATAGGACGAATTTGCAGCGAGAAACATCAATTCTCGGTGGCAGTAGTTTTATTCCACGGAGGCGCGGCCAGAAGAAGCGGGAGGGCGAGGAGAGCGACCAGAGGTAGGTACTTGAGCCCACTTCCTGGTGAAAAATAGGGAAACCGCGAGCTTACGGCTCGGCCGTTCGTTCGTTCGTCTGTCTGGATAAGTGATGCAACAGTAGGGGAACGCGAGCCAGCATCTCCTCTCCGAGAGAGGAGAGAGACTAAGAAGAAACTTAGAGGCGGAGGGAAGGACGTGGTTAGGGAGGGTGTGGAGGGATGGCCAGTGAATGAGAGTGATAGATTGCGCGACGCCATCCTCTGACACTGTTCCACCAAAGGCCAGCCCTACCCATTGTGCTCTGCGAGCCGGAACCCAATGGTCGGTGGACAATTCTAGACTTCCGTTCCGCTAAACGCGCTATCGCAACCCTCCTCTCCTTTCTGCTTTCCTCTCTCTCCTTTCGAGAATCTTATATTTCGGCCATGAAGCGACTGAGGGAGGATCGATTTTGTTTTTTAATCGAAGGAAACGATCGTAGGGTCGATTGATAGACGTATATTTATACAGAAGATGGATTGGAGAGTTTAGGCAAGCGAGTAAAATACGATAGGATGGGAAATGGGTGGAAAAATGTTGTAATTATACGTGCAATTGATTGCGAAGGGGGAAAAAAATTTTGGAAAGAATATAGAGGGAGCAAAAAGAAGTGGAAGCTATTCCGGTGCAACCGGCGTATCGCG